GAGTTCAAGCCCTGCGTCAGGCTCTGTGCTGTCAGTTGCGGAGCCTGGAGCCTGCTTCAGATTCTGCGTCTCCCTCTCTCTCTCTCTCTCTGCCCTTCCCCGGCTTGTTCTCTGTCTCTCTCTCTCTCAAGAATAAATAAAGATTAAAATAATAATAATAATAAAAGAAAGTTGTTGCCAAAGCCATAATTGTTCAGTATAGGGTACTGAATGAAAATTGCTTAAGCATGTACTTGATTAATTTAGTGATTAAAATTATACATGTATATATACCATACTTATTTTTTAATATAGGTAATTTGCAGAGATTTAAAATGATTCTGTGCTTTGGGTCTTGACACCATAAGTGCTTTCATCCAAGCTGCAGAGTAGACTCCATAACAAGAATGAATTCCACAACGGTAGATCCTTCTCCCAAGCTTTGCTTTGCTTTGCTTTGCTTTGCTTTGCTTTGCTTTTTTAAGTTTATTTATTTATTTTGAGAGAGAGAGAAAGAGAGGGGCAGAGGGAGAGGGAGAGGGAGAATCCCAAGTAGGCTCTGCTGGGCCAGCGCAGAGCTCAACACAGGGCTCCATCTCACTCAATGGAGTGAAACACAGTCTCTCAATCATGAGACCATGACCTCAACCGAGATCAAAGTCTGATACTTAACCAATTGAACCACCCAGCCAACCAGCCCCCCCACCCCTGTCCAGCTTTCTCATGTAGCTGCTCAAAACTTTTCTAAAAATTTTTCATTTATCTGAAGATAAAATCCTGCATGTCATTATTATGTTGGAAATGTTATCTACTCTCCAGGTTATTATATTAAAATTAGGAGGCTGTTTCTTTTCCCCAATAAAATAAAATCTCATCTAAGCAACAAATAAGAAAAGACAAATGTTAATCATTTAAGTATAAAGTTATGCAAAAGGAGACCAAATGAGTAAATTCTAAATTCCTATAAAAGTTATTTCTTTTTTGGAAATACTTTTCTCTTTAAACCATAATTGATACTGTCTCCTTGGAAACAATCCTGAGACTAGCTGGGTTACTGGAAACCATGCAGTTTAAACTTAAATTATGGTAATGCATTGCCTCTTCCCATTAATGCCACTTGTGCTCGTAAAGACAACTTGAGTATCTTTCTATCATGCTGTAGGCTACATCTGATGGAAAGATGCTCTAAGTCAGAAATGCGAGCTGAGAAGAACGTGTGCACATTTCTCACTGTAAAGTCATCCACTGACATTTTGATTTCACTCATTGGTTTCTCGGGCTAGGTTAATGTAGCTCTGTGCCCACGAGACAAAGTCAGCTTCCTGAGCATGTGAGAGCGTGTGGGAAATTCAGTAAGTTCACACGTGAGGCTTGACGGGAGACAGCCAGCTTTCCTTCCACATGACATTCCAACGCTACTGTTGGCCGCTACTTAAAACAGTGCTTATAGAATTTATTTGAATTTAAAAACTCCCTCTCTTTAATTATAGTATGGAAGGCACTGTCCTAGGAATCTTGGGGATTAGAAAGTAAAATACAGTTGGCCTTCAAGAGAGTCACAGGTCAGTAAGAGAAATCCAAATTGATCTCACTACTTTGTGTAATGTATTATATTGGAGATGCTGTAGCCATCTGGAAGTGCAAAATGAGACAAACTTGTAGATGAGAGAGAGATGTAGACATAGCCAACCCACTGCTTGGTGTCCACTCCTGGGTGTCTGTGGCTCTGTCCCAGCACAGAATCCTCAGCAACAGGGAGTAAAGCTGGTGGCTTTCCATCAAAGCTCATGAGTGATTTTGTGATGCTCGAGTGGGAGGAAGGGAGAAACACATTTGACCCTTTCTCAGGAAGTCGGTATTAACTTTGCTATTAATAAAAAGCTTTATTTTATCTTTAGTTTTTTGTCTACCTAGAGGCCAATATTCTTGGAGGCAAAGAGATTTGGCATCCTGGTCGTGTTTTGGGGTGGGAGCTTAAACCTGTAAAATGTGACAATACTCCAGTCAACAATAGAATGGTTAGCAAAGAAATCACCGATGTTAAAGTAAATTAATTAAATGCGAGCTCCTCTATTTCTCAAATAAAGCACTACTTATGGCAAACAAACTTATTTATCAGCCTATGTTTACTTTATGACATTGGATTTTGCATATATTATAATTGAATATGCACAGCCGAACTGTTTTTTGTTTTTCTTTTTTTTTTGGCACAGCCTCTAGAAACCTGGTGTTTAAATGCTCCTTTTTCTACTAACAAAGCATAAGCTGGAAGTTATTGTTTCCTGTGGGCCATGTTTTATTTAATGTTGGAATTTAAATATAGTCTTCATTGACTAATACTAATTTAATTTTTTCACAAGTGCCTGTGACTTAGCAGTCACCAGTCACCCTGATTTGATTTGGAAATTTGGGAAATGAGGGTGATAGCTTTGCAAAGTCATGGTAGGAGAAGAGCAGCTGGCTGGGCCTGCCTCAGTACTTGGTGATCATTCACTATTTCTTGACATATGCTAAAGAGTTTGAAACTGCAGTGGCATGGGTGATGACAAATATGATGTCATAAATATTTGGTGGCAGGACGATCTGAAACATATTTATTGAGAAACTAAATGAAGATAGATCCAAAGCGGCAACTTCTTTCAAGTTACCATGTCTGCCCCAGCAACACTAACCAGACGGCATGTGAAGAAACTCCAAGACCCTCTCTTTCTGAACTGTCTTCTCAGTCTGTTTACCAAATGAGATTTTGCTCCTCTTATCATTCTGACTACCGACCTGGAGGTCTGATTCTTCCACTCCTTACTTACTTTGTCATCCAGTCTTAAGGCCTGTTTCTCTATCATCTTGATTCCTGTGGCAATAATTCTGCTTCTTTGCTCCTACTCAGTACTGCTTTAGGAAACATTCCAATGTGCCACAATATACAGAAATTAACAAACATGCTTTCAATACTTTTCAGTCATATGAATATGAGAGCTAAGCAACTTCTTGGTATACCAGGTTCTGAGCTTTTGTTTCTGATACAATTTAGAATAGTAAATTTGAAACCATAAATAGAGCTTACCCATTAATAGCCAAATACCATTAATAACCAGATATGTTGAGGATGCCTAGGTGGCTCAGTCATTTAAATGTCTGACTCTTGAATTTGGCTCTGGTCATAACCTCATGGTTCATGAGTTTGAGCCCTGCATCGGGCTCTGCACTGACAGTGCAGTGGATTCTCTCTCTTGGGATTGGGATTCTTGGGATTCTTTCTCTCTCTCCCCTTCTCTCTGTTCCTCCCCCACTTGTAGTCTCTCTCTCTCAAAATTTATTTCTCTCAAAATAAATAAATAAACTTAAAAACAAATAACCAGATATGTTGAGCACACTGTGTCTGTAAAGTTGAGATCAATATCAAATATTGATTTTTTAAAAAAATAGTTTCTATTAGGGTTTTAGATACATAAAAATCAGATTCAAAATGCAGGCAAACCCACTTTAAAAAATAAAAAAAAGTACATGCCGTCTCGTAGTCACTTTCTGGTTTTGCCTGTAGTTAAAACATAGAAAGGAGTTGCCAATAAGTTGGGATGATGATAATGACTTAGTATCATGTAGAAATATAAAATCTCATGCTAGATGTGCACATTTGATATGCTGACTTTGACTTAAACATTTTGATTGTGTCAAAGGATTTTCTAAATTCCCTGAAAAATCAGCAATATGTCTATGAATATTAAACATTTATGACCACGTACTGCTTTTGTTTCTGAAAACACTTCCTTTATTCCTTTCTTATAATACTTACCAATTTATTCTTTGTGTTATAGCTATTTGTATATTAATTTCCCCAACATCTGTAAACTCTGTGAAGTCATGACATACACCTCATCCACCTTTGAATGCCCACCTAACATCTGTCCCAGAAGTCAGTAAGTGTTTATGGAATAGATGAGTAAATAAGAATGACAGACGATGTTATTTTTACATCACCATTCCAGATTTAAATTGACAAATTCATATTGGCATGTAACAGATTTTAGAAGCAAAGTTCTATGCACACGGGGGTCAAGAAGAAGCATGCACATTCCTGAATGAGTGAAGGATAGCCGATGACTTCAAAGCCACCAGCAGACCATTTACTTTATCTGGGATCAAGGACTCTGCAGGGATAAAAGGCAAAGGAAGTCCTACCCCTTGAAAACAAATGTTTCCTTAAAATAGAGGTTTGCTATCTAAAGCTCCTTTAATTCCTTAGGTTCAGCCCTATGAAATCATTCTCCTTGAAGTTTAATCATCCCAAATCCCATAATAATAATTTGGGGAAAGATAAATTGCCATAGAAAACATAGAATATGGTAGAATTTTAAGTCTAGCATTAGGGAGATTTGACCTGGTTATAAAACTCCTCCATGGAAGCACTATGGTTAGAATCGGTGTGAATTCACTCACATCTACTCTTGTTTAAAGGTACAACAGGACACAGAGAGAGACCTTCACACAAAACAATAGACAACCATAATTCCTAAGGTAGCTAAGTTAAAGCAGGTGTTTTCACACATATAACGTTTGATGTTGTAATTGTTTTCTGCTTGTTTTCATGTTTGTGTTAAGAAAATAAAGAGACATTGGTGGAAAATAGACAAACACATATTTTGCTTAAGAAAAGAGATTCATAAACCAGAGAAGAGTAGAAAAACTTAATGCTTGATCAGTGAAATTCTTCCAGACTCTCATTACACTGACCTTGTATCTCTTTTTTTGCCTCAGATTTGGCAGCTGTAGCAGGGATTGTGGATCTTATGGAAAGTTGGGGTTTTTTTTTTTCCTTTTAAATGTCCATGTATCTACAAATGTGAAACTTTAGAATTTCAAAATATGATAAAAATTTTTGCCACTTTATAGGTTTTGATTTAATTTATCTTAGAAGCTTCACCAATCTTTTGATAGTAGCTGACAGATCCAATCCTGTTCCCATATGCTTTCTGCTATTTAAAAAGAAACAGTACACAATTGCCTCAGAGAAGCACCATGTGTTTCCAAAGTGTGAATCTGAAAACCATCCATCTGGTCATGCTGGCATCTTTCTAAATTGTATGTGATTGAAAGAAATGTATTCAACATTTTGCAACTCTTTGGCCAAATGAGGAAGATAACAAGGTAAGGGAGATCCTTTTTCATTTCCATTTATTGAAAATCAAGTCTGTTCCTTCAGCCTGGGGTACCTTGCCCACCTGAATGGCTGCAGTCATCCATCAAGACTCAAGTCGCATGCTGTTTCCTTAGTGAATTCTCTGTAACCCTAGCTCTGCATTGTTTGCACAACTCTGTTCATACTGGTATAAAAATCCTTATTTTCTTTGAGTAAAACGATTTCTTTAAATATTGCCTCTCCTGTAATCCGTGAGCTCCTACAATGGAAGGCAGATGGTCTCCAATGCAACTCAATACAACAAAATATTATTACAATATTCCAGACACTAGTCTAGGGCCTGCAGAGATAGTCTTGAATAAACAGAGATCATTTTTTCCCTAAGAAGATTACAATCTTACTGGGAAGGGAAAAAAAAGGGGGCGACTAATTATACTTAAAATTGATGCTCAGTGGACAGATAACTACATCTGAAGCCTCATGCAGACAAAAATAAATTTGGAAGTTCAAAATATCTTTATTGTTGTTGCTATTATTAATACTTTCGTGTGACATAAATATTCAGATTAATTTTCTAGATCTGTGGAATCGCTGGAGGGATCAATACTACTTCACATTTCTTGTGAAGGTAATGAACAGTCACTGAATTATGAGCTAAGCCTAGTACCACATTTTATATGTATATTAATTTATGGTGCATTTATAAGCCCTCTATGCTGAAGTTACTTTATTTTTTTCAAACTGAAACTAATCCTAAAAGTAAGACTTTTTTTTTCAGATTTTTAAGAGGGAGATAAATGATATTGAATCATTATGGTTTCAAGTATAAAATATAAAGATGTGTCCATGTATTAATTAAATAGAAATAATAACTTTACGGTAAACTAAGAAAACAGGACATCTTGGCAGAAAACATTAAGGGCGAGGTGACTTCCTATTTTTTGACCACGTTGAAATACATAACTAGATCAATTGTTAGGAAGAACAATTCAGTAAAAAAAAAAAAAAAAAAGTCAGTCCATCATCAGATTTTGGTTAAATTGATTGTCATAGTTCAGTTCACTAATGAAATTATCTGTTTCTGTCCTAAATGGAGACAACCTTGATGATGGTTCCTACTAGAGACCAAACTTCTCAAGGGCAGCCATCATCAATACTTCTTTTGAACTTCATCACAGTCTCTGGACTAGAACATTACACCAAGTGAAACTTGGTCAAGGTTAAATAAATCAACTTTGACCCTCTTCTCATACTATTAAAATGCAATTAATTTAATTAATACACATTCTTTTATCCATATAGACATCTGCTGCTATCCAAACTCTATAACAGGGCTCTTTTTCTATGCAAACTCTGCAACTATATTGAAGTACTAACACTTCAAACTAGAAAATTATTGAAGAATATGGATTTCAGGCACTCTCTGGAAAGCTCGTATCTGCACACTGTTGGTAGGAAGAAACTGCCTACTCTTCAGGAGAGAGGCGGAAAAGGGGGTGTTGATACAAGATTAATATGGGGGAAGCTTACAAGATGTGCTGGAAGGGAGAGAAAAGAGATTCGAATAACAGCTAGGAAGCACTGATACTGAAAAAGTTAAGTTTTGATTTCTTGTGAAAGGAAACACTTACTTTTTCAATTTTTGAAAAGCTGCATGTTAGAAATAAATTTGAAATCCAAATTATTGCCCAACATTATTGAGTATATTTGCTACTCTATTTCTATTTCAGAGAAAGCTCTGCTGAAAGTTGTGTGATCTTCAGGTTAGTGTAATGAAGAAGAAAAAAACCCTTGAAAACCTCTCACTTTGTCAGGACTGGGCTGAGGGCAGATGACTCACAGTATGGATTCAAGTTAAATCATTTAACCTTTTTTTCTTATTCAACCCATCTGGGAAGCTGAATACAAGCGCTTCACTATGGAACAGATGGTGCACCAAAGCTAAATTTTCCCAGATTAAAAAAGAAGAAAAATGTGTTATAAGCACTAAGGGAACCAAACATGGAAAAAGACCAGGGATTAAAAGCAAAAGAGCTATAAATTGGATCAAGCCTTTTCCTCTGTAAAAAATAATGTAATACTTAAAAAATCAGTCCTGTGAGATGATTTGGGGACAAAGTTAGTAAAATGTTTCCTAAGCACCATATGTGTAAAGGTGGTCATGATTAATGGTACGTATGAAAAGCAAAAGCTCTTTGTTGGCACAGAATTGTGTGTTCATTTACCCATCTGTCTCAGAAAACTAATATGATTGCTTCTGAGTACTTCTGGGTTATCTATTTGATATCTGTAAAGTTAAACACTAATAAAAACATTTCTTGAGAAAATTTATGGAATCCATCTGATTGTAGCTCTGATGAAATTTAACACTACTTGACAAATGAAAAAAATTCCAACGTGTTATAGAATGCTGTCTAATCTATTTTCGAAATATATATATATATATATTTTTTGCTTATATATGTATATGTATATATATTGCTTCAAAGAAAGGCAAACCATTGGCCTTGGCTAACCTTGGGTGATTATAATCTTATTGTATATAAAAGTGTATTCAAATGTACTTATACACCAATATTTACATCTATCATATTTTATGGAAGAAGAAAAGTCCTGTTGTAGCCACACTACAGCTATATTGATGAATAAAGTAGAACATAATAGAAAGTATCTATACCTTCTTATTTCCTGACTGGCTGTGATAAACTTGGGGGTCGTTAGCTTACTATTTAAAAGACATAGTCACAGATGAAGATGAGGATGAAACCTGAGAAATTCACATTGTAGACTTCCAGATACCACAGTATAAAAACCCAGATTGAACTTCAAGTCTGGGACTGTCTCCAAAAGGAGGTTCCATTGTGGTTGAGGCAAATGGTGCCTTCCTAACCGAATACAATCTTTCTTGGATTAATTCTCAAAATCCTGTTTATAAAGCAAAAGACAAACGTGTACATATTTTTTCTTCAAAGAATCACTTTTTATTGAATTTGGGTCATACTCCTATTACTGAGAAATACAGATGAGGCATGGTTAAATGGCTCAGAAGCAGTGAAATTGAAAGGCAAACACTTCTGGTTTTAAGAAAAGAGAGTTCCATATGTCTCCTACTCTAATTTCCTATTAGGAAAAGATAAAAGCACTGACTATCACTATGGCTTTTAATATCCACAATAATCAATGTCCAGATAAAGATAAATTCTCCAATTTAACATAGCCCTTGTTCAGGGCAGCAAATGCATTCTTGGGAATGTTTGCATAAATAAATCTAATATAAGGCCATTCAGCCTCTTGAGACTTCCAAACCAATCTGTGGATCCCTCCATTATTCTTTTTTGATGATATATATTCAATTATATTTATAAAATAAGTATTATAAAAATCTATTTTCAAATACATTTGCATATTAGTCATTATATATATTCATATATACATATGTGCATTCAAACCACATTTGCATAATTCTTCTCTCCTAATAGCAAAAATATTTTTCCAAAGAAGATGTACAGATGGCCAACAGGCACATGAAAAGATGCCCAACATCACTAGTTATCAGAAAAATGCAAATCAAAACAACGAGATATCACCTCACATCTGTCAGATTGGCTAGAATAAAAAAAAAAAAAATAACGAGTGTTGGTGAGGATGTGGAGAAAAGGAGACCTTTGTATAACTGCTAGTGGGGATGTAAACTGGTGCAGCCACTATGGAAAACAGTATGGAGTTTCCTCAAAAAATTAAAAATAAAAGTACTGTAGGTTCCAGCAATTCCATTTCTGGGTGTTTGTTGGAAGAAAATTAAAAAATCAATTTGAAAAGATACAGGTACCCCAATGTTCACTGCAGCATTATCTAAAACAGCCAAGGCATGGCAGCAATGTAAGTGTCTATCAATGGATGAATGAGTAAAGAATGGGTATACACACACACACACACACACACACACACAAACTCATATCTATGCAATGAAATATTACTCAGCCATAAAAAAGAATGAAATCTTTCCATTTGAGATACCATGGATGGACCTAGAGGGTATTATTCTAAGTGAAATAAACCAGAGAAGACAAATACTGTATAATTTCACTTATATGTGGAATCTAAAAAACCAAGCAAATGAATAAATGAAACAAAAATAGAAATAGACTCATAGATACAGAAAACAAACTGTCAGTTACTACGGTAGGGAGGGATTTAAGGATAGGTGAAAGAGAAGGAGATTAAAGAGGTATAAACTTCCAGTTATAAAACAAATAAGTCATGTGTATGTAATGTATAGCATAAGGAATATAGTCAATAATATTGTAATAATTCTGTATAGTGATAGATGGCAACAAGACTTAGTGTCGGCATCATTTTTTAATGTATAAATATTGAATCAGTTATGATGTACACCTGAAACTAATAGGATATTGCATGTCAATTATGCTTCATAAGCACTGTAACATTAGAAGAAAATTAAAAATTAAAAACAAAGGATAAGCCATTGATGTGAAGAAATCAAATTCCCAAATAAATCAAATTCCCAAATAATACTGAATTTGTGATTCAGTCATATTTGGAAAAAAAAAAAAAAAGGAGCTTACCTGCCAATTTTGAAAGGATTCTTTGCAAAGATATGCCTGTCACTGTACACAGACCTCCCAAAGATTTGTACTGGCTCCTCGGCCTTTAAGAGTTTCTCATAGAAGAAGTTCAGCTGTGCATTCAGGTGTTTTATAAAGGAGTATGTCTGGAATATGTAGGACCAGCATGCTGGCTCCTGGTATATCATATCCAGAAAGTTCCCAAAACTCTGGGTAGTACAAGCCAATGTTGCCTTCCATGAGAGCCTTGGCTCTCTTAGGTGACACATACTGACTTTCCCATCATTATCTCTAGTGTATCTACCTTCATATAATCTCCCTTCTAATCTGAATTTCAATTCCTTAGTAACTAGTAATGAAGTTTTCACCCTTTTTCCCCTAAATTGATCCTGAGACATGATATGCTATTTGCACTCCCTGTAGGTTAAGAATCATTTATAATCCATCACTATAACCAGAAGCAAGTCAAGGCTCAAGACTGGCACTGGGTAAGCAAGAAGTCAGTCTCACTTAAGAACCATTATGATGGTCCATAATGGAATATATGCAGAGTATAAGTTCATACAAACACTTTCAAATAATTTCTGCTTTCTTCATAAATCTAGCAAAAAACATAGCTTAGAAGCATCTTTGTCGCTATGCCTATGATTAATGTTAAAAGTGACTAATGTCTTCCAGAGCTATTGTTATCATTTCTCTCTGAGGGTCAATTCTCTCTCTATACAAATCACACATCCTATTTCCCTTCCTCATTGTATAGCAAGAAGTGCAACCAAAAGTGGATGTAATTTGAACACATCACAAACCAACTGGTGGCTTCAGGCTTTATGTGCTCCATACTTGCACTAACCTTATAACTCTCAGTGGTTGGAAAGGGTCTCCAAAAAGGTAACAGAGTTAGAAGGAAGATAGAAACATGTTCAAATGAGAGTCCTCTAGATTTTTGTCTAAGCCCAAATTTTACTTCAACTCTTATTTATAATGTTATTTAATAAGTTATATCATTTTAGACTAGATAACCAAACTTACGACCCCTCACATGGCTGATGGTTGTATCAGATGAGAAAGCATGCATCATTATGGCTATTCAGACCATTTCTGGTAGCATGCTCTCAGCACACCATGAAGAAAGAGAAACAAACATTTTTTTATACCTTCTATTTTCTAGGCACTATGTTAATAGGTTTTATTTTATATTACCTCATTTTATCTTTTAAATGCTGTCTCACATAGATATTATTATGCCTATTTTACACATGAGTCAACTAAGGCAGAATAAACTTAAATGACCTAGTCTCTGGTCTATAGATCCAAAGCCCATGCTCCCTCCACTATATCATATCATCTTCCACAAGAAAGAGAAAACTTATGTTTATATGCTCATTAATGCTTTAGACCTCTTAAAAACAAGTATGTTTATCTTGACTTAAAAAGCTCTTACTGCTGCAAGGACTTCAACAGTCCTGTTCAATTCCATGTGCATTAGGATTCCCCAGGATTAGTGCTTGCAAGTTTTTAATTTCCACTCAGAGCATGGAGGAAAAAATAGCACAGATTTCCTTGTCTTTCTTTTTTCTTTTAATGCTCCTTAAATAATATGAAACTTTGATTTTTCAGTATATTATTTTTACATATATGCTGATAATAATTTTAAATTTCTAATATTATTCTTAAATCACTATCTTGCTCGAGTTTTTGAGTGCAACTTTGTGATTAAATTTGTTCTCTTAATTATTATGTGTCCAAATAATAAGGCATCCAGGCCTCCCTCAACTTAGCTTGTTTGACTTCTGCTTTGTTGTCTTTTCTCTTCTTTAAGTTTCATTTTCCAAAGGCACAACATTGAGAAAACTTTGATTGGTTTTGAAAACTGCAACAAAATGGCTAAAAGTCATATAGCATTATTTATTTTCTTGTTATAGCTTTCATAAATAATATTTCTCAACATCTAATGCAGTCAAATGAACAATCATTGAATCATAAAAGATGGGAACACTCTAATCTGAACTAGATTTATTTAAGAGTTGACCACATTAAAAAAAAAAAAACAAATATAAAAATTAAAGCATCTCTGATGGCTCCCTCTCCAACAATTTAAGTGACATGTAAATAACTTGTGTATTAATCACATTTTAAATCAATATCATCCAGGATTTTCTTTTTTTTTTTTTATTTTTTTAACATTTATTTATTTTTGAGACGGAGAGAGACAGAGTGTGAACAGGGGAGGGGCAGAGAGAGAGGGAGACGCAGAATCTGAAACAGGCTCCAGGCTCTGAGCTGTCAGCACAGAGCCTGACACGGGGCTCGAACTCACAGACCGTGAGATCATGACCTGAGCCGAAGTCGGACGCTTAACCGACCGAGCCACCCAGGCGCCCCTGGGATTTTCTAATCTAGTCCTTGAACTCGTCAGTGTCATTAAGGATTCTGTGGACATAAGTGTTAGGGAAGTTCTTAATACTCCATTGACCTCTTAAAGTTTCATATTGTACATTTATTCATCTATTTAATAGTGACTTTGAGATCTGCTGTACAGTAACTATTTAATTTGTT